GTTCACATGTGCGTGCTATCAGTAAAAGGATGTTAATTCAATAGTTTGTAGTTTCTTCCTTTAAACTTGTTAGATTCTGAACCGTTCCCGCTCTGAAGCACTCAATTGAGAAACTCTTTTCTGCATGGAAATGTGCCAAGTGTCGCTTCGACCTCATCGGCACCCTGAGATTATTCTGCTTCAGTCCTTTCACTCTCTTTTAAGTGCTGCTGGAGAATATAGGAACTAAATGCTTCAGTGCTAAATGGGTTATTTTCTTTGTTTTTGGTCGTTCTTGTGTTTGGAATGGCCCAATTCCATCTTATTCTGTTGCAGCTTCTGTTTTTATAGGGTTTTAGCAATTATATAAAAAGGTTTGGTAGTCCATTCTGAAGTAGCTAGTCAGTTTCTCAAATGCGTTTCTATGGTTCACTCATGCTAAAATAATATACAGGGTAGGGCTGGGCGATATAGCTAAAAAATGTATCAACGATATAATGTTTCATATCGATCGGTATCGATAATTATTGACATTTTTTTATAACCTTTTTTAAAACAAAGAGCAATAGAAAAAAACGTTTAAATTTAAGCACTGTATTTTTAAATTAACCCAATTTATTGAGACAAACAACAAATATTTTTTGTTTTAACAGTCAAACACAAAATAAAAATTAAACAAATATCTAATTTCTAATGTTTTATATGCCGATTAAATAGGTCTGAAGGAAACTTTTGGCTTGTTTCCCAAGGCCACAGGAGGGCGCAATGAGCAAAATAATGCAGCGCATTAAATTGCCAACGCAAAGGAAATAACTGTCTATAAAAAGAAATTCAAATGCAACAACGTCACTTACATCATCATCACCGCATCCACTAATGACGCTCCCTGATGCACACCTAACATTTGATTGTACGTTTTTTGCATTCAAATGCAAATGTTTATTTTAAATTCGACTAGTATTCATTTTTTTTATTCACAATTTCCTCATCACAGGCAGGCACAGCACTCATTTCAGCATGTGTTCGTGTTTGTGTGTGCTGTCTGCGTCACTCATAGCACGTGCGCTATATCGAAAAAAAATTCTATCGTTATCGAAGAGGGTGTACCGTCGATAAATATCGATACCGTTTTATCGCCCAGGCCTAATACAGGGCTACAAAACCTCAGTGAAATTCACTGGTTTGAATACAAAATATGTCTTTTATGTGATTTGCAATGAATCGCTATGTTTTTTTGTGGAATGGTTGGAGAGAGTAAGTCTCCAGAATGTTCCAAAAATGTACAACCAAAATCCAAACTTTTGATCAGTAGTCTGTATACATTATTTCAGTAACCCTGCATTCTATCATCGGCCATTAAAACACCAAAATCGACTGAGCTTCTGCCGCATACCCACAATCCTTTGAATCTCAAGTCCTGATAATCCAGATCTGAATCATTCCTCCAAAGAATCAATTTATCTACGTTTATCCACCAGAAATCTCATGGGCTGCGGTCCAAGACAGCATGGTTTTCTGGGAAGGTTTCTTTTTACGCTTTGATTGAAGAATTTGCTCATTTGGCCTGTTTCTGTCTCGATGGAGTTCATTTCTCACACAAAACACAAAATGAGATGTGCTGTCCACATTTATAAAGAGCTCAGACATTACATGGGACCCTGTGGGACAGGGCCCGTTACCAAGTGCTGTGTAGATGTTTTGTTTTGGGGTGGATCTGAAAGGGAAACGGGCCTCTGGTCATTAGAATGATCCGGAGGAGAGAAAAGAGAGAGAGTGGAGCGTGTGAGCTGTTGAGTCGTGATTTAAAATGAGAGACAGCAGGGTCCTATCTGTCTGCCAGCCTTCACTCCATCCCACGAGACTGATTAATGAGTTTGACCTGAGGGCTTTCTGACAGAGAACGACAGTGGATGAGGGAGCTTCAGAACGTTCTGCAGAGCAGTAAGGCGTCTGAAGTGGAGATATTTTGAAGAATGTTCACTCACCAGCTCTAAAAAACATGTAAATCAGTGAGTTCTTCATAACAGTATAACAGAATAGTTATGTAAAATGATATAAATATATCACCTAATAATATGTCTTAGTAAGATGGTATTTAAATGCTTAGATTTATGATCAAAGCTCTGCAATTTCAAAATATATAATGCAATGGAATACAGTGGTGATTGAGAGATGAACAAATAAACCTTCCTCAAGCCTGATGATCATATTTGATACTTGCATTTTAAAATGATTTTTCTAAAAAAGTGTTCATCTTGAAATATTACTTAGTATGAACGCTATTCTTGTATTTAAAGATTTCACAGCAAAAAACATTTTTACAATAATACTAAAAGGCCTTTTACTTGCTGAAAAAAGTAAAATGACAGAAGGCACGAAGTAGATTGTGAACAACAAAACTTAAAAAATATGGCAGCATTTCTCTTTTTTGTGTAGTTTAACTTGGAGTACTAAAATAACTAGAACTAATAAATGACAATTAATAAAAAATATATGCAAAGAGAATTACTAAAACTTTACCTTAATGTAAAACAGAAAATATAAAAATAAAATCAAATGTAAAATATTAACCAAAACTGTAGTTGTATTTCAATTATACTAAAATAACACTGGTTTGCGTAATCATAAAATTTGAGCAGTCTTAAGGTGCCCCTATTATGCCATTTTTAAGGTTACTAGTATTGGTTTGAGTCTCCTACAATAGGTTTACATGCATGCAAGATATGTATTTAATATCACCTCATTTTCCATTGATTCTCAAACGATTCGTTCAAAGCAGTTCTAAGATTCGGTCTCTCGAAACCCCTCCTTTCTGTGAGCCTTCTCTGCTCTGATTGGTCAGATGGCCTAGTCTGTTGTGATTGGTCTACCGCATCAAAGCCACTAGAAGGCAAGCCTGCAACCTTTAGACAAAAAAGCGTAACGGCTAATGCTAACGCTTCCGGTTTGCCAGTACATGGGAAAGGACACCAGAGGCCGTTTTTTTAAAATGGATGTCCACGGAGGAGAGGCTTCACTACGCTGAATAAACAGCTTTTTAGAGGAAACAGCTTATCATTTAATGAATCAACAGCCTATCGGCTAATCTTCAACATGTTTTACACTAAACAATACTTTTGGATTGAACTATTTTCACAGTTTACACCAAAAAAAAAAAAGCCGTTTTATAAGAGAAGTCACTGACATTTTGCGACAGGTGGGATACAGCTTACAGCATTTCTCATTCAATCGGTATCCGTAAACAGCGATTGAGTGTCGCACAACTCGGACTGAAATTCAATGACGTCAAGGCTGTAATGTGATTGGTTATTAGGGCACACGTGATCCAAGTTGACCGTTACGGTTTCTCCGATAGTAAGTAATACAGACCCTCGTATCTCCCTATAGTAAGACAATCTCTGACCGCATACAGCGTGTGTCAGAAATGATACGCCCGTTGCCATAGTTACGTATTTTTGAACGCTCAATGTAAAATATGAACATCTATTATTTATCATACATACAGGTTGTTATTCAGTGGAGCCAGCTGGTCCAAATAATCTGGGTATTGAGTAGACTTGTATTCGGTAATGCGATATATCACGGTAATGTATATATGCACGATATTGTTATCGTGGGCACTTCTAAATACCGTGAATAATTATATATTACAAATTATTCAGAATTTTGAATTTATATCGTGATAATACCGTATACCGTGATAAAGCATTAGCAATTAATCGCAACATGAAAATTTGATACCGGCATATCCCTAGTATTGAGCTCATTTTTCAAGAGTGAGCATTTGTGAATCCTGTGTTGAACTCCCCAAGATTAGAGAAGCAGTCGTCAGTAGAATGACGTGTTTGTGGGCGGAGTCAAGATGTTTCGCGATCAGCTAACGTAGAACATAGGCGGGAATTATGCAAATGTGTTACCCCGTGATGTGTAGCCGTCACGGAAGTGGGATTCGAATTACTTACGACTCGTTTCAGCTGTTTAGAGTCGATTGTTTCTTTTGGGAGACAATAACTTTATTTATTGTGCACTTTCAGCTTTGCAGATCGTTTACATTCACATACAGCTACATTACACACTGCATAAAAGGCAATATTGGAAATGGCGTAATAGGGGCACTTTATTTTGGAATTTCCTTTCATGGATTCAAGTTTCTCTTGTACCTTCATATGAACTGAGGTTTGAAATATAAGGTGTAAGTTTGTAAACCTCATAAATGAATAATGAAAACTCAGCGAAAGGGTCTGCTGTGCTCTGGAGTACGGGAGAAGTGGAAGGCAGACTTTATCAAATATTAATATGATTCTGCGATCATCAGGCTGAACATGTCAGAGTGTGTTCATTTTCTCAGCCTGCTGCTGTTGGCGATGTTAGTCTGAGCTGGTGTGTGAGTGGTATATTTGTGTCTTGCTTTGTGACCAGCAATGCACAAATACTACATTTTCTTTTTAGCTCAGAATTGGTATTTATGAAACGACACCGATAATAATAAGAAATCAGTATATTAGAATGATTTCTGAAGGATCATGTGACACTGAAGACTGGAGTAATGATGCTGAAAATTCAGCTTTGATCACAGGAATAAATTACATTTTAAAATATATTCAAATACAATTATTTGAAATTGTAATAATATTTCACAATAATTCTGATTTTTATCATGATAAATGCAGCCTTTGTGAGCATGAGAGACATTCATAAACATTAAAAAATTGTATTTTGATGTGCATGTTAGTGCTTTATACTGCAGTAAATAAAATCAATTTGAATAAAATCAATTGATAATTTTAATCAATACAATTATACTGCAGCCCGACTTTGTCATCAAAGTTTTGTCGACTTGATGGTGAATTCATGAAGCGAACCCATGTTTGACATGATGGTATATTCACTATTTATTTGAAATGAATTAATGTTTGTTATTTTATATGTGGGATAAAAGTCATCTAGTATTGATACGCCAGCTGTATGAACGTGAAGTCAGTGATTCTGAGGTTGATGGTGAAGATGTTTCGCTCTTTCAGAAATGGGCACGGATCTGCCGGGACCAGTAGTCATGCCAGGCGCTGTGGTGGGCGCGGGTCAGGTCAGGATGGCGGGCACCATGCCAGGGCGAGGAGGCAAGCGGAGATCAACGGGGTGAGTTATTATGCTAAACGGCATATTATTGTCATAATTATAGATGCTCTGGTCAAGATCACACTTTACAGTTCAAAATGGTGTCTTGCAAATGAAAAAATATAAATAAAAAAGTCAGAATTACCCATTTTCATCTGATTTGCTTAGCTGTTTAAGTGGAATTGGGTACAACTGGACAGGTTTTGGCCCTTTTTGTTCTTTCTTTAATAGCCCATTAATCAATAAAATTCAGAAATTACCTTTAAAGAATGAAACTACTTTATATACATGCATATTTCTTTTCTTTTCTATGTTTATAATTTCTTTCTACATAATTTCTTATTGCATCACATGTGTAATTTATACATGTTTGTTAGTCTATTGAAGGTTATGTGATGCATGCATCTTCAAGAATCGGCTAAAAACACATCTCTTCCATCTTTATTTGACCCTCTAACTCTAGCACTCTCTATTCTAATTCTATTCTTAAAAACACACTTGTCTCTTTTAGACTTGCACTCTATTCATTTGCTGCTTGTTTTCTTTAAAAAAACAACAACAACTAACACTTGCTTTCTAATCTTTTTGTATTCTATCTGTTTTCTTTTCATTTATTATACAATTATCAAAAGCAAAAAGGCCTCTAACACTAGCTTGCTCTATTCTTTTTCTATTCTATCTGTTTTCTTTTTATTTATTATATTATTTAAAAAACCCTTGCTACGTGTACTACGTTAAGCTCACTGAGACTTGTTATAGCACTTATCATATATCTTATCGTTATAGCAGCATGTCATTGCTCTTTTGTTGATTTTGATGGCTTCCATTGACCTGATTTGTAAGTTGCTTTGGATAAAAGCGTCTGCTAAATGACTAAATGTAAATGTAAATGCATGCAGCAAGAAACATCCTGAATCAGGAGTGTTTGTAGTTGAATGCAGCTGTAATGAGCTGCTGAAATGATATGACTGTCTCTCAGCGCCCATTGAATATTTTTCCTATTTTTTTATT